TCTCTCTCTCGCTCTCTCTCTCTCTCTCTCTCACACACACACACACCCACAATATATGAATTCATGGGATCTGGATGACAGACGTGTTCAAAACCCGTGCCAAAGCCTCACGTGAATGCTTGAGCACCACTGTAGAAATAGACAAAATAGATGACAATCTGCCATATACAGGCGGTTGCTTTGTGGTCTGACGGGATATTCAGGGCACACATCACGCTTTATTGAGTAATAATGCTTATCTCCCACCCAGCCCCCCGCCCCCCGTTTTTTTTTTTTTTTCCTCATCGCTGCATTGCATTGAAAGGGGGGTTCTCCATTGTTCATCACAGCAGCACCATTATCTTGCTCCTTGTGTTTTGTGTGAAGACAAGGAGTTGGAATGGCTTGATGCCTCAATTACCAGGCTCTTGTGTTTGCAAAGACAGCCGCGGCTGCGCGGTCTCTGATGTACCGATGTGCCCGCTGAGTCGCAAACATGCAAATGAGTCGCGATGCTCACACAAAGGCTTCGGACACAGCACGATGAGAAGGATGATAGTGACTCCAAGTGCTCGCCAGAACCCAGAAAGTACCGTGCCGCTGCCATCTTGTGACGAGCTCTTCCATTCAGTTGTATTTCGCTCCAAGAAATATATCGGTGTTATTTGTTAGCATGTCTGCTTCCAACTGATGTGTTCAGTATGGTGTTTTTATTCGCCATTTCGCATAACTGACTTTCATGCACTTGCAATCAATTCATGGTCAGTGTCTCATTCACCTGCGATTAACTTGCGGCGACTCCAGCATGTCGCCCTCTAGTCAGCCGGGAGAAAGTCTCTTTTACCATGATGAGAATTTTGTACCAAGCTTTACCATACACGATATCAAGTACATGTCAACAATGGTAAATGAGAATGTTTGGTCCAATGGGCAAGACAGGAGGGAGAAGTACATTTTGTATTTTCCTCTCTGACAATCCATCTTGGCACACGATTGCATCACTCAGACACACACATGAATACACACAAACACACACACACGCAACACACACGATGGTGCCTGACAAAGTTAGATAGAGCCGGAGTTTGAGGGCCATTGACCGAAGCTCAGCCTTGACTGGTCAGTGAAAGGGATGGCTTACCCTTCAGTGGTCCTCACCACTGCGTATGAGTGTGATTGAGTGGGTGTGTGTCTCCCGGGTCGCGGTATCAGGAGATACCAGAAGAAATAGGAAGCATGGCTCGTTTTCATTTGTCTTTATACAGAGCTCTGCCAAAGTGGCGTACAGTCCTCTTTGTTTTGGCGAGGCTTCAATTCTGTCTGTGCCAACATTTGTTGTAGCGCTCTTCATCTTATTTCCGAATGTCTTCACTGTAAGCTCCTGACTGCTTCTGCAATGTCAGGCACCAAAAAAAAAAAAAAAAAAAATCTGAAACAGAGTAGTAACTTTCTGCACCAAATGCAGTTTCAGTAACCCCCGTCCAGTTTGTGGCAGTGAGAGAATTTTCCAGTCTGTGTCTGCTAAATAAAACAACACACTGTGTTGTCGACAGAGTGTTATCTAGCTTCAATAACTAAAAAAAAAAAAAAAAAAGGAGGAAAAAATGATTTCAGTTGAATGTCATTGATGCGTCAATGTAATGCAGTGATTTGACAACCCTTGATGTGGGAGTGGAAGTCTTTTTTTTTTTTTTTTTGATAAATAGAAGTTGTCATTGAAATAAGGATCCGTGATTACGATTTTTTTTTTTTCCTGCCGGCATTGACGATATTTGAAGATGAAGCGGAATCAATGCGGCCAAATG